AAGCTCACCCGGCCTGTGACTGAGCATTTCTGTCTCTGGCACGTGGCCCCGTTTGTAGTCTCCAAACTCAGCAGATTCCTGCTGCTCTGCTCTTCTGGTGGAAGAAGGTGGATCTCCCCGGATCTGCCACTTGTGGGGTCCCTGCTCAAAGAGCAGTGGTCCGACTGTGCCATGGATCATGGTTTAAGGTGACCCCAAGCTGAGAGCTCACTCCTTGGCTCCGTCTTTGTATTTGGCTTCTCCACTCCGATACCTGGGAGCTCTGCTACACTCAGACACCCCCTATCCTTCTGTGACCCCACAGGACCTGAGACCACACTGTTCCTGTGAGGGCTCCACCCCTGCTGAGCCTCTGGAGTGATGTCCCTCAGTGGAGCAGACTTCTAAAAGTCTGCATTTTGTGCTTCATTGCTCCGCTGCTTGCTAGGAGCCGGCCCCTTCCCCCGCAGTCTATCTTCCTGTCGCTTTGAATTCACTTCTCCACATGTCCTGCCTTTCAGAAAATGGTCGATTTTCTGTTTCTAGAATTGCTGCTCTTCTTCTCTTCAATCTCCTGTTGGGTTTGTAGGTGTTTGGAATGGTTTGATAACTATTTAGCTGAACTCCTGTGGCCTGATGTCATCTCAGTCTGCTACTCATCTGCCATCTTGACTCTTCTAGTATTTGTCTCTTTATTTGCTTTTGAGCATTCCCCCCTTTTCTCCCTTGCCAGTTATCTTGGTTTATTTCATTCTTCTTCATTCTCCACACATAAGCCGTAGATAACAACACCACGCAGAAATTATTTCCCGGTCTCCCTTCCCCTTCATGATCTCTCATTTCTTCTCTTCTTCTATTTTTCTTCTCACTCAGTGTCAGTCAAGTTTTCCTCATTTCTGCTTCCACAAGCCTCCATTAACACTCTGGCCTCCTTTATCACTGCAGCTCTCCTGTCTTTTTTCCTTGTTGTTGTCCTCCTGATTGGTATTCCCAGTGCCTAAAACAGTGCCTGGCAGATAGTAAATGCTCACAAGATAGGTAGAGCCTGTAGGAGGCAGCAACATAAGGAATGAACAGCCCCCCACACAGGGAATTGTAGCATTAATAGTTGATGGGTTATGTTTTCAGATAATGCAAGTAAGGAATTTGATACCTGCCATAAAATGGGTTCAAAATTCTACAAGGGACCTATAGGAAGATGGAATTACTCCCAGCAGCCAGAAAGAAAGCAAATTTCCTTAAGGAGGAAAGCAAATTTCTTTGATTAGCGATAGAGTGTTGATGTTGAAGCTCTTTTTAAGGTAGAATATCAAAGTATAATGTTGCATACATAAATAAGGCCTTTCAAACTTTATCAGTTCCAAAGTCTTGAGTGGGTCTGCGTGGTCTACAGATTAATCCACTCCATTGCTCTTAGAATTCCACTCAAGGAGTCCAGTCCATCCTTAATTCCCTGTCTAGGCTTCTCTTTCCATCTTCCTGTCATGGTGCTTACACATTAGCCAACTTGAAGGAACACCACAGTTCATTTCTGACTGGTTCATGTTAAAATGGTGCTTCCAAAATAGATACCATTAAATGCTCTGACAGTGTAGACACCACCTGGTCACAGCTCAGAGACTATTTTTGCTGTGCTTTTAGTAATGGTATATTTTTAAAATGACAATATGAACAAATCTCATAAAAATACTTTTTAAAAACTTTACTTTCTTTGATATTTTTCCATTCCTGTGTTAAGTGCCAGGTGTATAGGGAAAACCTAGTCTGCAAACAAATCATTAGACTAGTGATCAAGTGTTGACATTAATACCATTTACAGGGATAGAGTTGAGAACATGGCCGTGATACATTTTGGTGTGTGCTCATGTTTAGCATCAACAAGGGGAAAACACAGGGCAGCAGCAGCACCACATTTTCCTAATACAATTTTTCTCTCCTTTGTGGAATTGCTATATTGTGATATTGGCAATAGCTGTTTTTAGTTGGGAAGAAAGCCACTGTTGAGTTTAACATTCGTACTAATGTTACTATACAAATTATAATAGATTCGCTTGTTACTCCATATCTATTTTAAGATGTGGATTCTTTGGAAATCAACAGTACTAGTGTTTTTGAAAACCAAAAATATGTAGACTTGTAACTGTCCCTCAGAACAATGTACTGACCAAACATGCTTGAACAGGTACCAACAACAGACCTCTGGGGGAGAGGATGATATACATAGTCCTTGCAGCTGAGGAGCTGGGAATGTCCGGCTTCCTCAGTTGGAGGCAGCCCACTTCTTTTTTCTGCTATTTCTCCTTCTCCAGAGATCACTGGTAGTTAATTAGATGATTCCTTAAAATGCAATTACCAATCCTATACTGCTTGATCAGGCATATCTTGTTTATCAATAATGTCCTTTGACTCATTTGTTGATTATTATCTTGTATCTAATAAATACAGGACTCAGGAGTTGTTCTGGGTGGCAGTTTCCTCAACTGCTGACCCCTGCTTCCGTTCTCTCGAAGCTGACTTCTTTGTGCCTCATTCTTCTCCCATGTGCCGTTGGAAAGCGGCATAGACTTTCTATATATTGGGCAAGATAGGCCTGTCAAGGCAGAAAGTAAACAAGATTGCTTACCCTAAATCTGCAGGATGAATTTAAATTTTACTTTATTTTGGGGATTAGAGAAATCATCTCAGTTGATTTCTTTGATTAGCGATAGAGTGTTGATGTTGAAGCTCTTTTTAGGGTAGAATACCAAAGCATAATGTTGCATACATAAATAAGGCCTTTCAAACTATCAGTTCCAAAGTCTTGAGTGGGTCTGCGTGGTCTACAGATGAATCCACTCCATTGCCCTTAGAATTCCACTCAAGGACTCCAGTCGGTCCTTAACTCCCTGTCTAGGCTTCTCTTTCTGTCTTCTTGTCATAGTGCTTACACGTTAGCCAACTTGTGCTTCTTAACCAGCCCCAAATCCTGGATATTTGCTGGGCCCTGAGCACTTGTTCAGGCTTCACAGTGGGCCAGGCTTACCTTTTCTCTCCATATTCACTTGTGAAAATTTCACTTTTCCTTGTGGGGCTGCTCAAATACCATCTCCTTAAGGAAATTTGCTTTCTTTCTGGCTGCTGGGAGTAATTCCATCTTCCTATAGGTCCCTTGTAGAATTTTGAACCCATTTTATGGCAGGTATCAAATTCCTTACTTGCATTATCTGAAAACATAACCCATCAACTATTAATGCTACAATTCCCTGTGTGGGGGGCTGTTCATTCCTCACATTGCTGTCTCCTACAGGCTCCCTCATGCCAACTTACACACAGCAAATGTTCAGTAAGCATTCGCTGAATACACAAGTATATTAACCGTCCTCATTCTTTGTTACTATTGTGCTGTGCCTGACAAGAAGAAGGTGTCTTAGTCTGCTAGGCCTGTACAGAGTGCTGTAAACTGGCTTAACACAGTCGAGAATTATCCTTTCACAGTTCTGGAGGCTAGAAGTCTGCAGTCAGGGTGTTGGCAGGACCACACTTTCTCTGAGACCCTAAGCGAAATCCTTCCTTGCCTCTTCCCTGGCTTCTGACGGTAGCTCGCCGTCCTTAGCTTTCCTTGGCTTGCAGCTACCTCAGTCTAATCCCCGTGTCTGTCTTTGCGTGGTGTTTTCCTGTGTTTGTGTGTCTGTCCAAATCCCACTCCCCACTTTTCTTTTTTAAATTGAGATATAATTGACATGTGACATTGTATTAGTTTTAGGTATACAATATAATGATTTGATATATATACACACACACAGATCTATATATGTATGTATATGTGTATGTATATATATATTAAAACAATTACCACAATAAATTTATTTATTTATTTATTTAAAGATTTATTTATTTATTTATTTAAAGATTTTATTTATTTATTTGACAGGCAGAGATCACAAGTAGGCAGAAAGGCAGGCAGAGAGAGAGAGGGGGAAGCAGGCTCCCCGCTGAGCAGAGAGCCCGACGCGGGGCTCGATCCCACAACCCTGGGTTCATGACCTGAGCCGAAGTCAGAGGCTTTAACCCACTGAGCCACCCAGGCGCTCCTACCACCATAAATTTAGACATCCATCACTATGCAGTTATAATTTTCCTTCTTTTTATAAGGAGGCTTATAGGGCCTCCACCCTACTCCAGTACGAAGCAAGTTAGTGGATTACATATATATAATGACTCTACTTCCAAACAAGGTCACATTTATAGGCACGGTAGAACTTCAACGTAACTTTCTGGGGGACAAATTCAACCCTTAACACTAGAGAAATGAGAATTCTTATATAACTGGTTCCCAGGTTCTCCTCGAAGTCATAGCCAGATACGTTTGAATTACATCTGTATGTCTGGGCTTAAAAAAAAAAAAAAATGTCTAGCTGAGCCTGGGAAGCAAATCTGGAGAAGGCCTGTGAGCGTGGCACAGGGGGCATCTCAATACACCTGTGGAGGGCACCTCCCTATTTATTTTAAAAGATAAGAACGATGGAATATCTTCTAGGAGACTACTCCATATTTCGGATGGGGTTCATTGTCAGTATGTGTGATTTCATGGTATTGACACCAAAATCTCCTTATAACTGACCAGGAGGTGCCGTGGCATTCTGCTGCAGTCCTGGGGGCAATAGGAAGCAAGATGAAGTGAAAACAAATCAGGGCTTGGCATAATCATAATAGCTTTCAAAATTTATTGGGTGCCTCCTGTTTGCCAGGCATGTGGTCAAGTGTTCAATGTGAATGATCCTATTTAATTCGCTCTTCAACACCATGTGGTAGGAAATATTAGTATTAGATATATATAATATTATAAACATTATTGTAATGTTTATAATATTATAAACGTGTGTCCATATATACATGCATCAGAGGAGGAACAAGATGTCTTGTCAGGGGCTTTTATTTTCCTTTGGTGAAGGTCTTGTATTCATAGCTAATAATAGCACTCCCCGAATAGGAATGGTGTTTCACGTTGTCATACTCATTCCTCTCCCTGATTTTGTGGACAGGAAAAGAGTGAAAAGCTAGCGCTGGAAGAAACTGCATATGAAGAAATCGAAAGGGATTTTCAGGATGTTCTCAGTGAACTTTCAGGGGACAAAAGTCTGGATAAATTTCGAATCGAATATGAGAAGCTTCATGCTGTCATGAAAAAGTCTTATGACAATGAAAAGCGTCTCATGGCCAAATGCAGAGAGCTAAATGCAGAGATTGTGGTTAATTCCGCGAAGGTCGCCACTGCCCTGAAGCTCTCCCAGGATGATCAGACCACCATTGCGTCCCTGAAGAAGGTTAGTGATCTTGTAGAAACGAGCTGAGGCTGAGCTGCCATAAACGCATCCTATATTTAAAACGTCTTTCTTTCCTTGTCTTGGCAGCTCTAGGCTGGTAGTAAATGAGTTATTTAGTAAAAATTTACATGATTTATGTATTCATTAAGCCTAGGGAATAAAGTTCATTTTCAAAGGAAATAATTAGCCTGGGTGAATTTCACGATGCAAAAATAATATAGAACCTTACTGGCTTGGTTTCTAAGAAATACTGGGTTAGCAAAAAGAATTAGAGGGAAGTAAATGTAATATTAGGGAGCTCTGTATGTCTCGTTTGATATAAGTAGAGTAATTAGGTATCTCATGATGATAGCTTGTTAAGGATTTTTTTTAAAGGGATGTTTTAATGTTTTTGCTTTTCTCACTGCTTTAGGAGAAATTACCTTGAGAATTCTTAGATAGTAATTTTTATGATCTTGCTTTCTCCTTGATCCTCCCAGGTCCTCATAATGGGAGACCAGGGATTCAATCTGGGGGATGTTGAGGAACTATGCCTCCATTTTACCCTTTATTTTTTTCACTCTCAAGTGTGTTACATTATTTTGAGAGTAAAATGTAAATGTTTCTTGTTGATCTCAGGATGATAAAAGGTTAAGAGATTTTAATTTATAATTAAAACCCTGGTGATGAGAAATAACTCATGAACTTTTTAGTTAAGTCCCTTGATATCATACAATGAAACATCACCCAATTTAAATGAATTTCTAAGACCAGTGCAAATTATGACATCTGTTTTCTTAAAAATGACCTTTTTAAAGTGCCATTTTCTCTCTATTGTCATTTTCTTCTTCTTCTTTTTTAAAGATTGTATTCATTTATTCAACAGAGAGAGAGAGAGAGAGAGAGAGAGAGAGAGAGAGTATGCTCGGGGAAAAGCAATAGAGGGAGAAACAGACTCCCCACTGAGTAAGAAGCCTGCTGTGGGACTCGATCCCACAACCCTGACATCATGACCTGGGCCAAAGGCAGACTTTGACTCTGAGATCATGACCTGAACCAAATGCAGACTTTAACCTTCTGAGCCACCCAGGCACCCCTTATTTTCTCCTTTTTTGCTGAAAAACCAGTAAGAGAAGACTTTAATTCATCTTTTTTAAGATGGGTTTTTTAAAAAAACCCATTTTTTATTGTAAATTAAAAAACTGGAAATGGAAGTCATGAACAGATTAAAGTATAATTGGTGATTGATGGGGACTATACTTCATATAATCATAGTTTCATTTAAATATCTTCATTTGTTTTGCTGAAAATAGTACAGATGGTTGCTATTAAAAAATACCCCATAAGACTCCTTTCTCTCTCTAATGTGATAGCATGAATTTATGGAACTCCTCTCTTCCATTCATTTTATGCCTTGTCAACATGAAACTGGAATATTGTCACCTAGAGCTTATAGGTTCTTACCTGTATAAAGGACTCACATTCCACTGGACAAAATTTTGCAAGAAAATTGAGGGGCAAGGTAAAACTCAAGGCTGTTGCAACATTTACTATACTTTGTTTGCTTATTTGAATGGCTGCAATTCCCTTCTAAGTACTTATGTTAATATTCCACATTGCATTTCATAACAGTAAGAAGCCCCAAACTGCATGAGTTGTTTCCACTCCAGCCAGGGGCATTGTTTTTCCCCTGTAAGCATTTGAAGAGAAGACCTGGGTGTGGGTTTGGGATGGGAATCACCAGGGCTGTTGTGTACAATTTCGTGACAGTGAAGACCACCTTCCTCTGAATTATTCTAAGGCTGACATTGCCATTCAGGACTGCTTACTTGGGACCTGAGATCAAAACAAGTTTTTTAAATTTGGAATCTACCAGGGGCTCCAAATTTAGGACTTGGATCCAGGGCCACTCCTAATTTTTTTTTTTGCTCCAAAAATATCTGGGCTTGGAAAGCACATAAAATTTCATTTTTAAAAAAAGATTTTATTTATTTATTTGACATAGAGAGAGATCACAAATAGGCAGAGAGACAGGGGCAGGGGGCGGGGGAAGCAGACTCCTCACTGAGCAGAGAGCCCGATGTGGGGCTTGATCCCAGGACCCTGAGATCATGACCTGAGCGGAAGGCAGACGCTTAACCCACTGAGCCACCCAGGCACCCCTAAAATTTCATTTTTGATTTCGTAAGCCTATCTTAACATATTTATTAGAAATATCCTCCTAGTCATATAGCAGTCATCCTACATAGCAGTCCTTGTAGGATGTGAGCCAGGACCCCTCCTAAACCTGCTGTTCAGTATTGACTAGTTAATGTTGAGCAATTCAGTAAGTCGATATCAATGAATTGCATAATGTGTAATGTGGAACCCTCTTTTCCCATAAACGACTACTCTGTTGGAGTTGTTTTATTATTCTCTTTGCTCAATGTATCTTGCATCTGGATCCTAGTTTGGTTTTTCTCACTGATGTCCTGTGACCCATATAGGAAATTGAAAAGGCCTGGAAGATGGTGGACTCGGCCTATGACAAAGAGCAGAAGGCAAAGGACACGATCCTTGCCCTGAAAGAGGAAATAGTGAACCTCACCAAACTAGTGGAGCAGGGGTCTGGACTGTCCATGGACCAGGATAGCAAGTAGGTGATGGCTTCTTGATGGATGTTGAACTTACTTTTGTGGAGGCCCCCTTCTTCAGCAGCTGGCAGGGGGCTTGCAAAGTCACCTTGAATGTTCTTTGTGATACAAGAATCTCCTCCTGTGGTGGTTTCCTGGAGATTGTTTTCCATCTCAGGCTTTTTTTTTTGTTTGTTTTTATTGCTCCCTTTCTCCATACCCAAGAATCCTAATATGTGGTTCCATTAAACTTCTGGCTATGCAGACTTAAGTGCTATAATTTTGAAATGAGTAAATATTTTAGGTTTCTTTCTTTCTTTCAAACTTGTGTGGAATGGTTGCTTTTCTGCTCTGATTGCCAGCTTCTTCCCCAACCCCCCAACTCCTATGATTTGTCCCATCACCGTCTTTCCTACTTCTCAGGTTCTAGGCCATGCCTTTATTCCTTAAAGCTTCACCTTGTTGATTCTGTCTTCTAAGCATCACTTCTGTCTTTCCCTGCTCCCTAGCAGCAATGCTAATGCCTTGCTTTGGGCCCCATTCTCTGCTGGATTTGGTGATGGACGGCTCAGTGGTCTCACTGCCTGTAGGGAGACATCTCCCCTCTGCACCATTTTCCACATATCAGATTTAGGCTGCTGAAACATGTACCTGTGTGCTTCTACTTCCAGCACATGTTCCAAACACCTTCAATATCTTCCCGTTCCCAAAGGATGCAGTCCAGTCTTGAACATGTCTTTCAGGGCCCTGCATAGATCTGCCCATCAGCCTTGCCAGAGTCCTGTCCAGAAACACCATGCTTGCTTATGGCTCCACACCTTGAACATGGTGTTTTCTATGCCACAAATGCTTTTGCTTCCTTTTGCCACACCATAAACAACCATGCACCCTTCAAGACCTACCTCAAACACCATCTTAATTTCATCACTCTCAGCATCTCTGTTTCAACCTTCTTCCCACTCCCAGAACCAATGGCTAAGCACGAGAGTCACTGTGTTCTCTGTTGCCATAGAACCCAACCAACATCTATCTCAAGTATGGCACTGATCACATTGTATTGAAATTATTCGTTGATATGCTTTGCTACCCATTAGGCTGTGAACTCCTTGAATGAAGTTGCCTTTACCTTCCCTTTAGGAGGCTAGCACCGTGCAGGGTATGCCAAACCTTTCATTAATTAATGAGTCAGGGATGAGCACACACACCTCCTTAGCCATTTTTAACCATATCTAACTGCTATCTAGGTTTCTTGTGCTTTCTAGATGCATTTATCCAATGTTGAGAGATAGTTCTAAGTGGAGGCATTGGGGGAGGGCATAGGAAAAACTAACAGAAGATGCAGTGTCCATAATAATGGGCTCTATGGTCTCATTAAAGAAGTCAAGCATTATCAGAGCAACTACGGAAGAGCAGTGTGAGGGAACTGATCAATTAGGGGGAGTGGTTTTTTTTTTTTTTTTAGAGATTATTTATTTATTTATTTGAGAGAGAGAGAGAGAGAGAGAGAGAGAGAGAAAGAGAGGGCACAAATGGGCAAAGGAGCAGAAGGAGAGGCAGAGGAAGAAGTAGATTCCCCACAGGTGTGGAGCCTGATGCAGGGCTCGATCCCACCACTCCAAGATCATGATCTGAGCAGAAGTCAGATGCTTAACTGATGGAGCTACCGAGGCACCCCAATTAGAGGGGGTATTAATGAGAATTGGAACACGGCGAGGAGGAGAACTGAAGAAACTATCCAGGCCAGAATTTCATCTTCAACAGTGTGCTTAGGTGTAGCTATCTTCATAGTAACCTTGGAATTCAAGGTTTTATTTCTGGAGAAGAAGCTGAATGCAGTCTTGAAGGCTTCTTCTTCTTTTTTTTCTTTTAAGATTTTATTTATTTATTTGACAGATAGGATCACAAGTAGGCAGAGAGGCAGGCAGAGACGGAGAGAGGAGGAAGCAGGCTCCCCGCTGAGCAGAGAGCCCAATGTGGGGCTTGATCCCAGGACCCTGAGATCATGACCTGAGCTGAAGGCAGAGGCTTTAACCCACTGAGCCACCCAGGCACCCCAATCTTGAAGGCTTCCTATTAAATAGTTATGTTCTATCAAAGTTATTGGTAAATAAACATTGTCATATTGTTGTGCTTCCAACAGTCATTTGATGGCTAACAGTGGGAAGTGCCTCAAGTTCAATTTCTCTGCTTTCTTGGCTCTCACATAGCTGCCTTGCTCTAGACCTTAATTCTGCTGCACAGGTCAGATCAGACATAATCTTTCTACTTTCAAAACACTAATTCTGTGGAAAATCATGCCAAATCATATGTAATGGTTTTTGAGATGTGGAAGTAACTTGTTTAGAGTTCAAATAAACAAATATGATCATATACTCTCTAAAAACTGGCATCATGAATGATTTTTCCAAATTTTGTTCTTGGGAACATTTTATCTGGGTTGCATCCCTTTAGAAGAAACTAATCTCTGTGGGTGAATGGATAGAAAACTGGCAATGTGTATTATTTGTTTATGTTTATGCTTCATTTTAGACGTTATGGCTGTGATCATAGCCCTCCACTGATATATTAACCAAATAATGTCTTCAATTAATACCTCCTTAGGGTCAATTACAAGAATTGATAATAGCCAGTAGTCTTGCTTTTCAGAGATAACCAGTTACCAGTGTCAATCGATTTTTCTGGACTTCTATAAAAATGCCTATAAAACACACACACACACATATACACAGATACTATAACTATTTAAAGATCAGAAGAGGGATCATATTATATATATTATTATTGGAACTTCTTTTTCAGTTAACAGCTCACAAGCAGCTACCATGTTGATGGTCAGGGCATAAAGATCTTTCTCTTTCACACCCGAATAGTGTTAGTCCTTGACCTGGAGTCTTGCCTGTGAATACAAGTTCAGAAGGTGATAAGGAGGACTCCTGAGCAGGATGGCCTTTTAGTCTGACTCCTGTGTTCTTCTTTTTCTAGTATCCGAGATTTACTGAAGTTCAAAGAAGAAGTGACCAAGGAGCGAGACCAGCTCTTGTCAGAAGTGGTGAAATTACGAGAGTCCTTAGCTCAGACCACTGAACTGCAACAGGAAACAGAGCGAAGCAGAGAAGAGGCGGAGCAGACCATCAGTCAGGTCTGCTCTGCCATGGAGGGCAAGAGGAAAGACCGTTACCTCCCAGAAGTCTTTCCCATCTTGCTCCTCTTTTAGATTTACCCCCTTGTGTCCAAACAAAGCATCCACAGTTCTGCTTGTTTCTCTGGTTTGTTTTTATAAGAGCAGTTTGACGTGTACATTTCTTCTCAACATTCTGTGTCTGAGAAGTCACTAAGACAGGGCACTGCTTACAATTTTGGTCTAAGAAGGTGTCCCTGGTAAAGGCCAGGATGCCCTTCCACCATTTGGGAATGGTGGAAGTAGTTTCCTTAGCTCTTCTCCTTTGTAAGGACCCTTTCTGAACCCTTTTATATAAGTCCAGAAGTCAAATAGATGATTCACATGTGCAATCTCCAGGACAAAAACATGAGACTCCTTTGAGCATGAGATGACAGAGAGATTTTTCAGAGATTTTGGCCATCATGATGAAACTATAATGTTTGGTTTAGTAATATCCAGGACTCATGTGAGACATAATTTCATATTTGGGGTAACCGATGACATTTTATTTAGATCCTATTGATAGAAAATTGGATGAATTCTTCCCATGCTTAACATCTCTAGAATTCTGGGTTTCCATATTTAATTGGATTTTATACTATTCTTTGTGGATTCATTCCCACACTCTGGGTGGATGTTTGGTGTTAAGGCTCTGAAAAACAATACAGAATATTCTTACAAAGTTTAAATATTGGAGTTCAAAGATGACTGTCCTACAGGGGAAAGGCTACTATAAGGTGACTGTCCTGAAAATATAAGATTTGAGAAAGGGAGAAGTCTTGGCTGGTTGAGACGTGTTCTGGCGTGGGCTTCATCTCTTTCCTCCCTACCCTTTCTGCACCCCTAGTTCCAGCAAGAAATCCAGCAACGTCAGAACGAAGCTTCACGGGAGTCTCGGAAGAAGGAAAAACTAGAGAAGGAGCTCAGGCAGGTCCAGATGGACATGGACACCAGGCAGACAGAAATCAAGGCCCTCCAGCAGTACGTGCAGAAGAGCAAGGAGGAGCTTCAGAAGCTGGAGCAGCAGCTGAAGGAGCAGAAGGTGTGCTTGGTGTGGGCTGCACCGCGATCCCTGCAAAAACAAGGAGGGTGCCTTTGGAGCTCCTTGAATTTTCTTTGGAAAGCAGCAAACTCTCTTCACGAGAGATGTGGGTAACACAACGTTTAGCTTTGCCTTGCTCTTTGAACAATTCAGTTAAGTAGACATGACCTCCTTTTCTTTTCTTTTTTATTTTTCAGCTCCAACATGTTAATTTCGTTTGAACTTTCTATTGATGTATATAATATACACGTAGGAAAGCATGTAAGTCACAATTACATGCACACACATGTTCTCCCTCTCTCCCTGTCCCACTCTGTCTCTAAAATAAATACATAAATCCAAATAAAACAAATACAAAATACAGCTGTATGAATTTTCTCCACTTCAACACATCTTGGTCACCTGCACCCGACCCAATAAACACTACCCCGGATGTCCCCTTGTGTCCCCTCCCAGCCATTCTCTTTCCCAGAGTTCACCTCTGTTCTGAATTCTTAGCTGTTTAGTTTTGTCTGTTTTTGTACTTTACAAAAGTGCAGTCATAAAGGGTGTACTGTTTTGTGTTTAATGTCTTTGGCTCAATATTTTGTTTACGGGATTCATTTGTGTTGCCACCTAGTGATGGGGGGACACTGTCCTTCCGGTAGCCACTAGCTACATGCGGTGATTTAAAAATTTAAGTTAGTTAAAATTAAATACAATGAAAACCTTAAGTCCTCAGTTGCTCTAGTACCATTTCAGGTGCTCACTAGCCTCAAGGTAGGTAGTGCATCAGACAGCACAGCTAGAGAACATTCATTGTCATGCAGAAAGTTCTGTTGGACAGAGCTCAATAGGGCAGTCACACTCATGGTATTCATTGTGTGACCATTACATGATTTATTTTTAATAGGCTTATTTTTAAATCTCAAGTTTAGGAAGCCATATTCAATCTTTATGCATTTTAAATATGGTACTATTTTTTAACATTTCCCCTGTGATAGCAGTTTAAGGTAATTCAAATCGTTTTAATTCTGGTCTGTCTTTTTTCATTTTTTTTTTTTTAAGACTTATGTATTTATTTTAGAGATGGAGTGGGACAGGGAGGCAGAGAGAACATGTGTGTGCAAGCTGGGGAAGGGGAGGAGGGAGAGGGAGAGAAGCAGGCTCCCTGCTGAGCCCAGAGCCCTGGGCCGCCAAGCCTGAGGGGGGGGGGCGGCCTTGATCCCACAGCTCTGAGATCATGACCTGAACCAAAATTAAGAGATGCCCAACCGACTGAACCAAGCAGGCCCCCTTTTTCTCTCATTTCTTAAAGAAGCAATTCATGTAATTGAGAAAAGTCATTCCTTGAAAATATTTTCTCTTAGGAAGGTTCCAAAGAATTGACAAGCCATATAGCATTTTGCCACTAAAAAATTAGATATTAGAACACATTTCTTTTCCAATTGCCTCACTAATTTCATTAAAGCCAGACATCAGATAGGTACTTTATAACGTGCAAGTATCTACCAGAAAAACATGAGACATCATGGAGCATGGAATATGAGAGGTTTTTAATATCATGATCAAACTACAGTGCTTTGTTTAGCAATATCCAGGGCTCATGTAAAAGACAATTTCTTTTTAGCATAGGGGGCTATTATTTTATTGAGTCCCTATTGGTGGGAAATTGGATGGATTCTTCCCATGTTTAACTTTTGCTTACATCAGGTTATATTTTGGAATAATTGTCTAAACTATCTTCTCTCTTTTCCCTTCAGCACATTTGCTATCCCTCTGTCCTCTCACTAGTCTGCCCATAGAAATGATTCCCCCCACCGTTAATATATTCCTTTTTTTAAAGAAAACTGTGTCTGCTCAGGATAGTCAAGGTAGGGAAGAGGAAACCTGACTGACCCTGAAGTCAGGCAGACAGAAATCACGGCTGTGCTCTTCCATGGTTTTGACTTCAGTTGGATTTAAGGGGAATTGTCTCTGTGTTGGTGTCCGTGAATTTCTGCTCATGAAAATGTGGTAGGCATGTTAATGCAGGATTTGCTTCTGAAGATGTAGCATCCCAGCCCCACAGCTGATAAAACCCGTTTGAATCTCTAGCTCATTTGCAATGATTATAGCAATTGTTGCATATGTGAAGCTTGCCAAATGGCAAACAGGCATTAAAATATTTATCCGCCACCTGTGAACAAGACTTCCCAAGGCTCTCTGGAAAAAAATTATGCTCTCTGTGTTATTCATTAGAAGGCTTCGTTTTCCTCAGCCATCTAACGTTTGTCATATTTGAGTGTATTAGTGCTTTCACCGGGGATAAAGATCAATTTCTACAAAGACAAAGAAAGTGTGCTTGCTGCGACTGTCCCAGGAGGTTGGTGGGGGTCTCCTGTGTGCATACGCAGATATTGTAATCAGATTAAAAAGCATTAACCAGCTCGTTCTGCGCCTTTCAGATATTGAACGAAAGAGCTGCAAAGGAACTGGAGCAGTTTCAGATGAGAAATTCTAAACTTCAGCAAGAGAATGAACAACACAGTTTGGTTTGCGAGCAGCTATCCCAGGAAAACCAACAGAAGTCTTTGGAGCTCAAAGTAAACACCAAGTGACCTATCTGTTCCCTAGCACGTGCTCCTTCATTCCCTATTAATATAGGTTTGCTTTTGTGGCTGGAGCCCTTGGTTAGGTAACCTGTACTAGCCTCAATATGTCAGAGGCAGGCACAAGCTTTCAGTGGTGGCTTTCTGCCTGGAAGGAGATACTTTGATGACTTCCATTCTTCTAAGACCACAAACCTGAATATTGATCATATGATTATGCAAATGTTTTCGAAAATGAGCTCAGATGCTCATCTCTGTAACTTAGCCTTGGAAGTAACGAGTTGCCCTCAGCTAGAAACCATTTACGTGGGTGAGTAGCAAAGAGGTCAGATTATATTTTATGATTTGTCTGGAGAAGGTGGAATGGGAGCTGTTGGGAATGGATTAGCACTACTGTGTATCTCCTTCCAGGATTGTGGAACCATGATTCTTACTTTTGTCCTGCAAATTTCAAGACAGTCTCCATTCTTCTCCCAGGACTCAATGAAGACTGCTTGCAAATTATGTTAGATAACAGTTTTTTTTTTTGGGTGCATATTATATACCTACATGCGTAAAACCGCAGGTTTATGTTTATCATTGATTCTGAAAAAAATCCATAAAGCCTCCGGTTATGTTTAGGATACTAGGCACAAAATGAGTGACCAATCAAGAATAATACATGGGTTTGATCAGTGAATCATAACAATTTTTGCATCACAGGCCCTTTTGACAGTCTGATGACAGCATGCACATGCACACACACACACACACACGTGCACACACACACACACGTGCACACACACACACACACACACACACACACACACACACTTATGCACACACCTTGCATCTTGTTTTGAATGCTGTCTCCGGTTTCCAGGATTTTTCTGACTTCTAACCACAGGGTCTGGATTAATAACTACTGAGTTAGAACATTCTAACGTTCCAATTGGAAAGGGCCTTAGTTCAGCTAATTTAGACCATGTAAATCTGAGACAGAGGATCATTTAAAGCAGTCCAGAATGGTTTGACTTGAAACCATTCTTTATGAGAAAGCTGTAAATGGAAGCAGAAATGAAATGGCTACTTAAGGAAAAATAATATATTAGCCCCTAAGGTGAAATTAAAGTAAAAATACTTATGCCATTAATTCTCTTCTTTGATAACAAGAATGGGACACCTTGAAAGATGGAGTATTGTTGTTATCAGATTCTGAACATACAGAATTCTATTTCCAGCAAGAATCCGAGAATAACATACCGAGCTCAGTGCAGTTTCTTCCTTGTCAAGAGCTGGGGATAATTGCTAATGTTTATTTGAGGAAGAATCACCGGTTGCTTTTCTGGTAATTTCTAAGAATGGCAAATTTTATTTTATTTTATTTTATTTTTTTTAAGATTTTATTTATTTATTTGTCGGAGAGAGAGAGGGAGAGAGAGCGAGCACAGGCAGACAGAATGGCAGGCAGAGGCAGAGGGAGAAGCAGGCTCCCTGATGAGCAAGGAGCCCGATGTAGGACTCGATCCCAGGACGCTGGGATCATGACCTGAGCCGAAGGCAGCTGCTTAACCAACTGAGCCACCCAGACGTCCCTAAGAATGGCAAATTTTAAAAAATGAACTTAAATTTAAAGAAGTCACAAAACTCAAAATCCCTTGACAAAAATCTAGTGCTTTCTTTTGCTAGAATTATTATTTTGATACTTTTCACCATTATGTAGACTTGCCTGTTTGTGTTGCCCTGTCCGTTTATCTCTATATACACCCACAGACCCACATCTGTTGAGGAGGGAGGGCCCTTCCACTAGTGTATATTATTGTCCTACACTGGCCACGTGGATTCCCAAGAGTATTTGAATACGTTATAACATGTTAATAATCTTCTGAGAGAGATCACTCTGTGAGTCCATAAAAATTGTCCATCAAATACAGCATTTGTACATAAAATTCACACATTTATGATACATACGACTCAGCATTCTTATCCTGTTGGATTCAACAACTCAGTGGTGCCTTGAGATATCAGGTCTGATCAGTCTTTTCATTATTTTTTTCGCTTACATAGCCACCTATTTTATTCAGAGAGTAGTTTTTCAATTTCTCTCAAGACCAAACAGTGTGTTTTTTTTTTTTAACCTGTAGAGCAAACTTGTATTGACATGGGAACAATTTCCTTTTATTGGTTCTGAATTTACCATCATGAAGTCACCGGTCCTTTATTTACTGAGTGTCCCCGGTTAATGCTGTCTCATTAATTACAGGCCAAAGAGGAGGAAGTCCATCAGATGCGGCTTGACATTGGGAAGCTCAACAAAATCAGAGAACAAATCCATAAGAAACTGCACCAGATTGAAGATCAAAAGTTAGAAGTGGAACAGAACAGGGAAACTTTAAAAAATCAGATCTTGGGATTAGAGAGAGGTAAACCAAGAACCATTTTGCGCTTTGTTTTATTCCTTTGTAAACATTTCATTGATGGCTGATGGCATTTGGTGACCCAGGGCTCTATGCATACAAACACAAACCATGCCAAATATAATCAGTAAAACAGCTTTCCAGCTGGTGAGCAGCCAATATGCTGGGGACATCATTTTGAATATCTTTAACTTTTTTACCTTAAAAAATTCTTCAGCAGACTATATTGGCACAATGTAAATCCAGCCAAAAGTATTGCTCTGTAATTGTCATTAGAATAAATAACATCTGTACTCTTAGTTCTTGGTTCTGCATGACCTCCTGCTTTAGCCCCTTTTCTCATGGATGATAGGGCATAGATTAAAACGAATGTCCCCCACTAGCAATATTTGGGACAATATTGTACCAAGAATCTAAAAGGCTCCTAACTTCTTTTCTCTGTTAGTACTTTACCATGTGGTGAACACTTGTTTTACCTGCTATCACATTTCCCTGTGCAGGAAAAATTTAAGTGCCATGGAAGGCCATTATAGCTCAGAAAAATCATTAAGGATACAAACTATAGGGTCATGTCTACCTGGGTTCAGATCCCGCCTTTGTATTTACTCTTGGGGAATGAGATGGACTAATACCCATAAAGCACTTGTGGATAGTACTTAACACATTGTAAGAGCTTACTAACTGGCATCAGTTATTCTCCAGGTATATTACTATTTATATAAGTAGTAAGATAAAATGCCATCTCATTCTGAAAAAGAGTAGAATTGGAAAATAGGATTTACTAGTCGAATTTGGTGTGGGAGAAACTGCTCCAGACTTGAAGACAGGGTATCTGGGTTTGAATTTAACTACACCAGAGTATGTGAGGCAGGAACACGTCATTGAACTTATGTGGGCTACCGTGAGTTGTAGGTCACCGGGTGAGGCAACATAGAACATAAACACATACACTGCTTCACTAAAAGTTAGGTAAAACCTAGATCTCTAGGTAAGGTTTTCAGAAATCCACTTGATCCTAAACAACATGTGTTTGAAGTGTGTGGGTCCACTTACATGTGGATTTTTTAAAATAAATACAGTACAATATAAATGTATTTATTTTCTTAATGCCATTTTCTTTTCTCTAGCTTACTTTATTATAAGAATATAGTATGAAATACGTATAACATACAGAAGATGTGTTAATGGACTGTTTCTGTTATCAGTGAGGCTTTTGGTCAGCGGTAGGCTATTGGTAGTTAAGTTTTGGGGGAGTCAGAGTTTTATGTGGATTTCAGCTTCATGGGGGATGGGCATCCCTAACTCCCGTGTTGTTCAACAGTCAACTGTATTTGTTATGTAGGACTTTGAAAAGTACAGATATTTTTTCTTCTCAGACATGAGGAAATAATCTTTTATGAAGGTACAGTTGTGGCTTATCTTGACAATTCGTCCATTCATTCCCTCTGTAGATTGGGTGCCTACTATGTGCAGGCAGTAAGGTTGGCATTAGGTATGTGGAGGTCTCTGCCCTCAGAATGTTGGTGGTCTTGCATGAAGTTTATGATCTAATGTCTTCAGTGACAGGAAGAGAAACGGAATTACTAGATCATATTTTGTAACTGGTTTAGTGACTTACAAAACATTCCCACATTTACATTTCTATATTTTTGCTTGCAATAGTTCTAAATTTTGGAAAAAAAATTATTCATTCCATGTTGGACCCAATCCTTCATCCTTAAATCATGTTCACAGAAATCATCATGCTCTCTCCTCTGGTTATTTTATAGATCTTGTTAACATTATTATTTCTTCTCAGGGAACTCTTTCTTTTAATGTGCCTGATCAAAGAGTGGCATTTCAGCCCTTACATCTCCTAGTTCCTGAACTCAGTCTGGTCCAAAGCTGAGGGAGGGGTTGTGGGAGCTTGATGCCTGGAAAGCCTCCATTCATGGGAGGACACTGACCCCTACCCCTTTCTTCTCCAGACCAGTCCAGAGGATTCCTTCCATTGATTGTCACTCTTAAGAGTTTAACTAGTTCCAAGAATTTAGGGCAAACTTTCCTTGGACAAAATAGTTAGGAGCACGAGTCCTCCATGTGTTATGATTTTCTGTCACAAAACCCAAGAAACTAACTGATAAACTGCCAGAACTAATGAGAGTTCACTGGGGTGGCAGGTTATAAAATAAATATATACATATCTTTTGTGCTTCCTTTTGTACAAAGAACCGGTTAAAATATATGATGGAAAAACCCCTTTTCACAATAGCAACTAAAGTAATAAAATATCTATAAATAAAGTTACCGGGATACCTGCAAGACATGTATATAAAACATGCTACAGAATTCTATTGAGGGGTATAAAGGAAGACTTGAAAAATGGAGAGATACACAGAGTTCCTGGATGAGAAAGCACAATATGATAAAGATATAAATCTACCTAAATTAATCTATACATTTAATATTTCCAATAAAAATTTCAGTAAGTTATATTGTTGGGACTTGAAAACTAATTCCAGAGATCCTCCAGAAGAATAAACAGGTGACAGTAGCCATAAAATTCTGGAAAAGAGGAGTGATAAGGGAGCATTTGCCTCACTAGGCATTTAATATTATAAAGCTTCAGTAACCAAAGACTGTGGTGAAAATGCCTGATAAACAGGTCAATGGAAGAAATTGGAACAGCCACAAAAAGACCCAAGGTTATCATCAAGATAAAGATGTTTCACACCAGCGTGCAGTATGGATTCTTAAGATGGTAGTATGACAATAAGTTACTTTTTGGGAAAAAAAAGTTAATACCTACGATGTGGAAACCAGAAAACCAAGATCAAGAAGATTTAATGAAATAAAAGCTGATTTTTTTAAAAAAATATATCAAAGTTTCTCTATATAAAGACAAATTGACAAAAAATTGCCAAAGAGTTAGTATTTTTGTTATATATAAAGAGTTCTTACAAATCCACAAAGGGGATAAACAATTTGTGAGAAAAATGGACATAGGGAAAGTGTGGGCAATTTTAAAAACAGAAATACAAATATATGGTCATTAAACATGAAGAAGTAGTAATATTACTACTAATCAAAGAAATGTAAATTAAATACAGAGATAGGGTTTTAATAATCTATTGTATTGTCAAAGAGATCGAAGAGCATGATAATACCCAGTGGTGATTTGGGTGTGGATTTAAACTGCTATTAGTTTTCTGGAAAGAAATTTGGCAGTAGGAGAAAAATGCCTTTTTTTTTTTTTTAATCGCCTTTGATCCAAGACTTCCTCTTCTAGAGTAACAAATGAACAAGAACTTTCACAGAATTATGGCTTATAATTGCAAATAAATAAGTAAAATGGAAGCAATTTAAGTGTTAAGGTGGGGGATTGGCTAAATAAATTATGCATTTTCGTATAGTGAAATATCATGGGGCCATTAAAATTCTGTTGTAGATGCACATTTATAATATAGAGAGGCATTTACTTTATGTTAGTTAATTATAAAAGCAAGCTACAAAACAGTATGTGTCATATAATTCACTTTAGGTATATATATGTATGAATGTGTGTATATCTGTATTTTTATGTACACATACATTTGCATAGGAAAAAGTTTAGAAAGACATATCAAAATCCTAAGTAGAATCTGGTTGACTTGAGATTTTTTTCCCTTTTGCTTATTTGGATGCCTCATTTGTTTCTGTATTCATAATTACTTGTATAATTAAAAAGATTTAAAAAGAGCAAGGACTTTTGGAGTCAGAGAAACCATGCTCCTAGCCTCAGCCCTTCTTGGTTGCAGAGACTCCGTTTCCACGTGTTCAGTGGGGCGGGAGACCTCCTGCACTGAGCTATAATGAAGATCATGGAACACTCAATCAACAGGAATTTTATAGCTGCAGATAAACCTGTAAAGCAGTTTCTCTCTTGCATTGGCTTTGGCCTTGGCAGATTCTTTCTTGGGTCAGCTCCATATTTCTTCTTCTTCTCCTTGGTCATTTAGAGGTGGAGGCTTCAAAGAAACAAGCAGAACTGGATAAGAAAGCGATGGATGAGCTTCTGAGGGAAAGGGACATATTAAATAAGGTAAGTATGTTCCCATAGTACCGGTAAATAAATGTCCTTCTTTAATGCTATGATATCTGCCTCTAACCGGTTGTGCAGGGGAAAGAAAACTCTGAAGCGAACAAAAGTAGATTAGAAATAAATAATTGTGCTCTGTTTTCTTCCAAGCTGCCGGGCACAGTCCACCATTTGTGGGCTGAGAACTGAAACTGCGTTATTACCTGTGAGCACAAAGGGATGTGGGGGGAATTATCATATAAACGAGCAGGGGATTTAAGAGCGTTTTGTGGATTTTGATTTTATTGCTGGTGTATTATTTGGCATCCTAAGCAGTTGATCAAAATTGTTGAATTTAATATCTATAATCTGCAACTTTGGCTAATCCAGAAGATACAAATGAGTGCTGATACAATATTACCTTCGAGAAATTTGGTGCAAGAAAGGCCAGTTGATGCCATAAACCTTTCCTCCATCTTTTGGGGACTGTTGTAGGTTTTTATTTTTGTTTTCAGCCCTTACATCTCCTAGTTCCTGAGCTCAATCTGGTCCAAAGCTGAGGGAGGGGTTGCAGGAGCTTGAGGCCTGGAAGGCCTCCATTTATGGGAGGACACTGACCCCCACCCTTTTCTTCTTCAAACCAGTCCAGAGGATTCCTTCCATTAACTGGCACTCTTAGAGTTTAACTAGTTCCAAGGATTTAGGGTAAACTCTCCTGCTCAGGGATTTCCTCCAGGGAGGAAAAAATCAAAGGGCCAGATGGAGAGTGAGAGGCTCCTTCCAGAACAGTCTATGGCTTTTGGCCAAGACAGTCATCTCATCAAGTAGAAAGAGCCTATATTTTTTTACTCCAACTTTCATTATTTCTTTAGGTTTTGCAGAAAGAACAAATATTGACAAAATAGACCACTCTGGAAGCTGGAAGAAGACTATTTAAGGATCCTGGGAAATAATAGCAGATTACCTATCTTTACATGCTGAGCACTCCTTAGAAAATCATTGTTTTTTTGCATAGTCCTGAAAACCAGTCCTTTATTTAATAAATTTGCACATGCAAACAATGTTGGTGGATTTAGAATTTTAAATGTATTTTTTTAAAAGATTTTATTTATTTATTTGACAGAGAGATCACAAGTAGACAGAGAGGCAGGCAGAGAGAGAAAAGGAAGCAGGCTCCCTGCTGAGCACAGAGCCCGATGCGGGACTCAACCTCAGGACCCCGAGATCATGACCTGAGCGGAAGGCAGCGGCTTAACCCACTGAGCCACCCAGGCGCCCCTTTAAATGTATTTTTAAGACATGCATTTAACCTGTTTATATTTTATGAATACTGGTGGCCAACCAATAGATTTTCTGCCATAATAGGACATGTAGCACAACATTAATTTCACTTTTATTTGTTTGATTTGACTAACATCAGTTCCTCTTCCAAGACAGGGTATAGTTTTTTCTTTTCTGGCTAGTGTGCCTCCTTTCTTAGTGCTTTGCCCAGCCAGCATCTGACCCTCTGCAGGTACGCAACCCACCATCACTAATAATACAGTCTTGCCCCACTGACTGGAAATACCCCATACCCCCTTCATTAAATGAATAGTGACATGGTTTTGACAGGCAGCAATGTTAATATATTCTCATTCTTTCAGTGTCATGTTAAAATGGCTTTGTCTTTTATAGAGTGGATGTTGAATTCAATACTTGAAAATCAAGTTGACCTTTTCTATTTTTTGCCTCATCACCCATCTGAGGTATAGTGTGTTTATATTCCAGTGGTTTTCAGACCTGGCTGCGGGTCTCTGTTGCTTAGAGATTTGGGAAGGGACAACAAGGAGCCTTGTGGTACCCAAGGATACATCTGGGCCTCGGGAACTGATAGGAAGCTGACCTGACATTCTTGGGATACACAGAAAGCCCTCTCTCACTACCACTGGATTTCCTGCTGAGTTGTTTTTTTTTTTCCCTGCTGAGTTTTTGCTTTTGTTCTCTTTTGGGGAAGAATGCCTCCCTGTTTCCTGGTCTGTTTGGCAAAAATAGATGATTATCACCACTAGCTCCCAAGTTTAAGTCCTCTATTGAGTTGCAGAAAACTAAAGGCCTTATTTCAAAAGTCGCCGGTTCATTCACCTGCAGCCAGAGAACTGAACCCTCCTGTATGAGCTTGCCTGCCAGAGCAGCACTACTCTATTAACTCCTGGTTTTCGGGGCACAGGCTGACTTCTTGGGCAGCCAAACTTGGAATTTCCATTGCAGCAGCAGAAATCACTCATGCAGCACTAAAAAAAAAAAATGTTGGCACCTGGGTCCCCTCCCAGATCTACTGAATCAGAATCTCTAGAGATGGGGCACAGGCATCTGCATTCTTTAAGAAACTGGGCTAGTTGGTGTGTTATTATGGCAAAATAAACACAAGACAGAATTTACCCTGAGTGACCATGAGTACATTGATGGTGTCATGTAACCATCACTGAACTTAGCTGCAGAACACTTTCTTCATTCCAGAAGGAACCTGTGTACCTGCAAAGCAGTTATTCCCCCCCATACCCCACTCCCCCCCACCCCACCCCAAGGACCATGAATCTGCCTTCTTCCTCTGTGGATCTGACTATTTTGGATATTTATAGAACTGGAATCCCGTTATACATGAACCTTTTATGTGTGGACTCTTCCACTCAGAATAATGATTCCAGGCTTCGGCCATGCTATACCCTGTATCAGGACTTTGTTCCTTTTTGTGGCTGATGAATGTTCGCCTGTGTGGATATACCACATTTTGACGACCTGTTCATCAGCTGATGGACTTCTGGTTTGTTTGCCCGTTTTGGCTCTTGTGACTGGTGCTGTTGTGAGCATTCGTATACTGATTCTTGTTCAATCACCTGTTTCCAGTGCTGCTGGGTTAGGTACCCTGGAGTGAGATTTTGGATCATATGTTAATTCTAGATAGTTGCATTTTTAATGAGTTGGTTTTATTTTACTTTGTAGTCAAAGCCCCGTTAGGTGAGTAGGTTCTGTTGTTCTAGGCTCCCAGAAACAAGACTAGAGCTGGGATGGAGGTTATCTTTGGGGTCAGCTGGACCTGGACTCAAATCCTGGCTCTGCCACTGCTCTGTTGATTGAACTTGTAAGCAAACACCTTAACTTCTGAGTATCAATTTCCCACCCTTAAAATGGGAGCAAGATAGTGCTCACTTCCTTGGGATGTTGTGGTCACTTAGTATACCTATGCCTGTGTTCGCCTTGTGCAAAATTAACAGACTAAGCTCTAAATAAGCTGTAGAGAATATGATTATCTTATTTACCCAAAAAACTATGTGTCTAATTATTTTAGGGATGAAACGGGGTAGATTTATCCAGAAATCCCCACACATTTTGAGTAACGTGACTGCTCTGTTGTCCTTATTTTTAGAATATGCTTAAGGTGGTCAGTGCAACCCAGAAGCAGATAGACCTGGTAAAGCTCCATGAACAAGCCAAGAGGAACCTGGAGGAAGAAATCCAGAACTACAAAGATGAGGCTCAGAAGCAGAGAAAGATCATCTTTCAGCTGGAAAAGGAGCGAGATCGGTACATCAATGAAGCCAGTGACCTTACCCAAAAGGTAAGATCACTCCTTGATGATGTGAGTGGAGACCTTCTCTCTGAAGGTCACACACTGTAGCAAAGAGGATTGCTTCAGATCTGAGCTGGTGGTTTGCATGAGAATTTAAGAGGAACAATGTTGACGGAAGAAAAGCTGTCCTGGGGCTGATCTGGGTCAGACTATGAAACAGACAAGGTCAATGCTTTTTCCTTCGAGGCCCCTCCCCTGTTGCCTGCTGTGCAGTTTCCCTGTGTTGGACGCTTGGGTTCGGGGTGGTGGGGTGCTGTCAGCATCCCCATCTCTGTACCATTTGTTCTCACCCCCCACGTCTATCCCTGAAACCCTTGTCCCCTTAGACTGAGGATTCCAACTACTTGTTAGGAGAAAAGCATCTAATTAAATGACCTCAAATTAAGATGTGAGTGACTCCGGGCATCAGGTAAATGCTCACACATTCTAAGGGCATTTTTATTTTTTTTATTTTTTATAAAAGATTTTATTTATTTATTTGACAGACAGAGATCACAAGTAGGCAGAGAGGCAGGCAGAGAGAGAGAGAGAGAGAGAGAGAGAGAGGAGGAGGAAGCAGGCTCCCTGCTAAGCAGAGAGTCCTATGTGGGGCTTGATCCCAGGACCCTGGGATCGTAACCTGAGCCGAAAGCAGAGGCTTTAACCCACTGAACCACCCAGGCGCCCCTCTAAGGGCATTTTTATTTCCCAACTGTTGGGAACCTGGAAACCTCACCAGTGGTAGAAATTCATGCGTTGAGTAGCTAAGTCCCAGATCTCTACTTCCTGTAAACTGCGGAGAAGGGAGAATGCTCATGGCAGCGTCTTGAAAACGACTTCAGGGATTTCAGATCTGCTTTAACCCATTGTCTTAGCACGTGGCCAGCATTCAGCATGAGTGGTTAGACTCTACCGCCTTCAGTGTATTCCCAGATGGCGGAGAACAGGGGGTTTCATGGTGTCAGGAGGCAGTGTTGGGGAATGAAGGAATGTTTTAAGTATGAGGCTAAGAAGAGGGTTTGGGAGAAAATACTCGTTTAACAAGATGCCCCCCCCATCCCCTTGGCAAAATGTTATCTCCTCTGCAGTGTAAGCCCTCTCTTTCATCTCCACAGTGAAGTCTACAGTGTTTCCAGAGCTCTTGTGTGTTTCACTTTGTTTTGTTTTGTTTTGTTTTGTTTTGGAGTGGAATCTCAGTGACGTTGACAAGGAGGACAGCCAACATTTGAATTATAAACATTAAGAAAGAGGGAAACAAGCTTCCCTGTTAGGAAATCAGCTTCTTTCCGCTTAGACTAAATAAACGCTGAGCAGATGTTTGTAGAATATAAGTTCGGACTAGGCTATGCTCAGTCTAGCCCAGGCTGAACGTGTCTTCCGTGTAAAAGATCCCCCCACCCCCGCCACTCTCCCCACACCGGGTGATTCTCACAGCCCTGATTGGGGGCCATTGGAATACAGTGTGTTTCTTTTCTCACTTAATCATCTTACAGGAACGGTTGATTGATTTCCTGACTCCCAGAAAGCCAGTGGCCGGTCCAGGAACTCGTATTCTCCAATCCTACGCTCCAGCTTGGGCTAGCCCGTCAGGCCGCACATTCCTCAGCTTTGGCTGTAAGAAATAACCCTCAGATCTTCGTGGTTTATAGCAACAAAGATTCATTTTTCACTTGAATCAATGGCCTTTGTGGGTCTGCTGGTGCCCTGCTTCGTGTCCTCTTCATTCCACACTGATTCTGTTGGGATGTGCTGGCCTCTTTCAGAGCGAAAACAGGGTAATAGTGGACCTTGTGATGCTTTCAGAGCTTCTGCTGGGAAGAGAAAGGCACAGGGCTTGTCCACTCATTTCCCCTCTGCCAAAGCAAGTAACATGGCCAAGCCCAGCATCCCTGGGTAGGAATATAATCCTAGTAAGGGGGAGGCGCCGTATGCCGAGACAGGAAATGTATCTGAACATGTGATCTTCCTGCTTCACCTTCCTGGTAATCAGTGTCCCTCCACCTCGGGCTGCCATCACACTATCGAAGTTCACTGTTAAAAATTCCAGTGTGATACTGGTATCACTCCTGGCCTTACAAACCTCACTTCTCACTTCTCAGCAACCTGGGTCCATGCTTTCTAACATTTTTTTTTTTTTTGGAACCTTAGCACATATAGAAAATATGTCTATAGCTTATGGGAGATAAGGGGGAAACTGTTCAGGGTTGGAGGGGACTAACCTAGGGATGCTAGCTGCCCTGGTCCCACCTGATAGAGTGAGTCAGTATTTGGGTGCATACCTATAATCCATGCAAAACGATGCAATGGTATACTGTGATTTATGGGACAGAGTCCAAGCCCTTTGTTCTCCCTAGAAGGTCCTTCTTTCCCTTTTCTGCCTGGAAAATTCCTCTTTATCCTCAATTCCCTGCTCAAAAGCTCATCTCCGAGCTCAAACCTGCTCCGACTCTCTTCTTTATGGGTTTGTTTGTATCTTTGTAATGGTACTTACCATCCTTAGAGTAATTATTTTCTTTGCACATTTGTTTTTCCAACTTTACAGTGAGCTCTTGGGAAGAAAGTTTTATCTCATTCATTTCTTCATTTCTAGTGTGCCAGTAAATAGTAGGCACACTAGAAGTGTTTGCTAAATAAATGGATAGATGTTGAGTGGTAAAAAGGAGGCTGTCACTGATTTTAATATAGGATTATTGATTTTTCAGTTTCCTTGTAAAAATGTAGATGTACCAAGTTTTGCTGGTAACTGTTTTTCATAATTCTGATGTTTAACTTCACAAGATTGTATAATGTGTCACTAAATCATTTAAGCATAAGTTCTTAACAAATTCTTTATCAATTGTAATTTTTCTATTTCTTTCTTAACCTCTGACAGCATGTATCAGTTGCTACAGCAACCTGGGTCATCTCTAGACGACTTCTTCTTCTTCTTAAAGATTTTGTTTATTTGACACACAGAAAGAGGAGAGAGCAAGCACAAGCAGGGGAGTAACAGGCAGAGGAAGAGGGAGAACCAGGCTCCCCACTAAGCAGGAAGCCCATGTGGGACTCTATCCCAGGACCCTGGGATCATGATCTGAGCCAAAGGCAGACACTTAACTGACTGAGCCACCCATTTTAGAGAAAGAGAGAGAGAGAGGGAGTGAGCTCAAGGGGAGGGGCAGAAGGAGAGGGAAAGATTAAATATCAAGCACACTCTGCAGAGCCCGACTTGGGGCTTGATCTCACAACTCTGAGATCATGACCTGAGCCGAAATCAATAGTCCAATGCTTAACCGACTCAGCCACCCAGGCACCCCTGGACCACTTATTAAGGACCTGCATGTCCTTTTTTTTTTTTTTTTTTTTAAAGATTTTATTTATTTACTTGACAGAGAGAGAGATCACAAGTAGGCAGACAGAGAGGTAGGCAGAGAGAGAGGGGGAAGCAGGCTCCCCGCCAAGTGGAGAGCCTGATGTAGGGCTCGATCCCAGGACCCTGAGATCATGACCTGAGCCGAAGGCAGAGGCTTAACCCACTGAACCACTCAGGTGCCCCTGCATGTCCTTAATACATATAAGAAATATGTCCCTCCCCATATTTCTTTCTTTCTCTTCTGCTACACACATACACACCTCATTCCCACAAACAGAACATTCCCTTTCCTGAACTCTATTTGATATCAGGGGCTGGGGATAATGTCAGGATACTGATGTTTTCATCAACTTCTGGAGTAAGTATATGTTGTTCCAAGTTTTAATCCAGCAATTTCTTTTGTAAGAACTCAATCTATGGAAATAGACGAAATGCAAAGAGTTTTATAAAAGGATATTCTTTAAAATAAATTGTGCTACACTTATCTGATACAATATTATGTACCATAAAGACCACGTGTTTGAAAAATATTTTTTAAAATGGGGAACATGTTCACAATATGAATCTGATAAAGACAGAATGCAAGATTCCTTCTATGGTTTGCACTAGTTTTATCTCTGTGCACAGGAGAAGGATTGGTATTCAATTTTGAGCTCTTCTTATTACTTATTTCTTAAATAGGTACCAAATATTTTTTGAAAGAATGAATGGAAAGCATAATTAGAGATCTGAATTAACCACTCAAAGACTTACTTTTAGGTATTTACATTAAATTCTTCTTCACTAATGTATTTATCATTATGGGTCTTACCCCATTTTAAATTCATTTGAAACATGTTGTCATAACGGACAATCTTATCTGAGTTATCCTCAGTGATTTTAGCTGTGGGGGACTCGTGGCGTGGTCTCTTCTGCCTTCTGGGCTGCAAAAACAGGGTCAACATTTGCCTTCTGGTTCTTTCTGTTTAGAGAAAGAAAGGTGAGCTCTCCGAGACCGAAAGCCCTATGTTACATTTTATTAATTTAACTTGGAATTTGCAAACGAGGAAGAAGATCCTTTTCTGTGCCAGAATCGGTTGGCTCAGAATCCTAAACCTTTTCTTATGTCCCTGTCTCAGTCAACACTTGCCATACTAATGCGGCATGATACACAACCACCAAATCTCACTGGCATGCAGAAATAAGCATTTTCTTCCTTCCTTCCTTCTTACCTCCCTCTCCTTCCTTCCTTCAGATTTTATTTATTTATTTGAGAGAGAGAAAGTGCAAGAGAGCACAAATGGTGGGGAGAGGGATAGGGAGAGAAAAAGGGAGAAACAGACTACCTGCTGAGTGGGGAGCCTGACATGGGCTCTATCCTAGGACCCCCAAATCACGACCTGAGCCAAAGGCAGACACTTAACCAACTGAGCCACCCAGGTGCCCCAACACTTAACTTCTCACACCTCTGCAGTTGGGTGGAACTCAGGTGATCTAGGTTAGGCTTACCTGCACTTGGCTGGAGGCTTTGAGTTTGGTCTGGTTTTGCTCTATGTGTTTCTGGTCCTCCAGCATGCATGGTGTTGTCATGGAGGAAGAAAGGAAACAAAGGAGAAACCCAAGCACACAAGCACATTTCATGGCTCTCTCCTCTGACATCCCATTGGCTGTGGCAAGT